CATGGTGGCTCGTGCCTGTAGTCCCAGCACTTGGGAGGCTGAGGCAGGAGGATCGATTGAGCCCAGGAGTTTGAGGTTGCTGTGAGCTAGGCTGACGCCACAGCACTCACTCTAGCCTAGGCAAGAAAGCGAGACTCTGTCTCAAAAAAAAAAAAAAAAAAAGAAATTAATTGGCCAACTAATACATATAGAAAAAATTAGCCGCGCATGGTGGCGCATGCCTGTAGTCCCAGCTACTTGGGAGGCTGAGGCAGAAGGATTGCTTGAGCCCAGGAGTTTGAGGTTGCTGTGAGCTAGGCTGACGCCATGGCACTCACTGTAGCCTAGGCAACAAAGTGAGACTGTCTCAAAAAAAAAAAAAAGAAAGAAAGAAAGAAAGAAATTAATTGGCCAACTAATATATATAGAAAAAAAGAAATTAGCCGGGCATGGTGGCGCATGCCTCTGTAGTCCCAGCTACTCGGGAGGCTGAGGTAGTAGGACTGAGGCAGTAGGATTGCTTGAGCCCAGGAGTTTGAGGTTGCTGTGAGCTAGGCCAGGTGTGGTGGCTCACGTCTGTGATCCTAGCACTCTGGGAAGCTGAGGCGGGCGGATTGTTTGAGCTCAGGAGTTCAAGACCAGCTTGAGCAAGAGCGAGACCCTGCCTCTACTAAAAAAAATAGAAAGAAATTAGCTGGACAACTAAAAAAATATATATATATATATTTATATAAAATTATCCGGGCATGGTGGCACATGCCTATAGTCCCAGCTACTTGGGAGGCTGAGGCAGAAGGATTGCTTGAGCCCAGGAGTTTGAGGTTGCTGTGAGCTAGGCTGATGCCACGGCACTCTAGCTAGGACAACAGTGTGAGACTCTGTCTCAAAAAAAAACCTCTAGCAGAACAACAACAACAAAATGGGACAATGAAACACAATTTGCTAAGATAATCATTGAGGCAGGGTAGGGTGATGGGTACATTGGGGATTCATTATACTATGCTCTCTACTTATGTGTATGTTTGAAATATTCCATAATAAAAAAAAGTTTAAAAAATAGAACCAGAAAAGCCTCACACACCAGACTGCAGTTAAAGAGGATCAAATAGAGAAATACAGCCAACCAGACACAAGTCATTAACACACACGTGCACACACACACCACACACACACACACACACACAGACTTCCTCTCAGGGTCACCCTTAGGTGAAATTTTGAAGAAAACAATTTTTCTTCCATATGTTTGGAACCATTTACCCTTTCAGAAGCCCTAACCTTATTGCTCTCTTCCTACTTCCTAAATCTGCTTTTTTTTTTTTTTTGAGACAGAGTCTCGCTTTGTTGCCCAGGCTAGAGTGAGTGGGTGGCGTCAGCCTAGCTCACAGCAACCTCAAACTCCTGGGCTCAAGCGATCCTTCTGCCACCATGCCCGGCTAATTTTTTCTATATATATTAGTTGGCCAATTAGTTTCTTTCTATTTATAGTAGAGACGGGTCTCGCTCTTGGCTCAGGCTGGTTTCGAACTCCTGACCTCGAGCAATCCGCCCGCCTCGGCCTCCCAGAGAGCTAGCCTAAATCTGCTTTTGGGAAAGAATCTGATCATTTGAAATTCCCTTGTGTCCAAAAGTCATAGTGTGGTCTCTCCTAGGAATTTACCTTTCTGTGTTATCTTCAGTGGGGCAAAGAATGGCATTGTTTCTGGCTTAGGCATGGAGGAGGGGATTTTGACAGGGACAGCAACAGTCCCCAGAAACCCTGGAATCACACCTATAGGCAATTTCCTACAAGCTCCAAAAGCAGAGATGCTCTGCCTTTTCTAAGTGATAAGGAACACAGTTTGTGGCCTGCCTCATTCCTTCAGTGGAACTTGCTCTTACCTCTTGAGCCAGTAGTTGTGAAAAACAGGTCCTTGGTCACAGGGCCAGTGATACTGCTATGACCCCAAAGCTCACTTTGGTTCCCTTTTGTTCCCTGGGTCCCCCTTCCCTGGGGGTGGAGGGTAGAGGCTTTAAGAGTGCTGGAAGTTGGCAGCAGGGTGTCCTGCCACAATTGGCAATGGTTTTTATTTCCAGGTTTGTCTTTGCCTTCTCTGGATCCTTGGCCTCCTTGGACAATTCTGGTCTTAAAAGGCAGAGGGTGAGCAGAGACTTATTTTACCAGATCAGGGAGATGCTAGGGTGCAACTAGCCCTATCCATAATAAGGGGCTGCCACTGGCCCTTCCTTTTACTCACCCCTCCTCCACCCCTGCTGCCCTTCTCACTCTCCTGGGATAGATCATAGCTGGCTCTGGTTCCGTTCTATGGACAGGAACTCCTGGGACAGCTACTCCCGCATTAGGTCAAATACATTTCCTGTTGATTGGATTAGTTTCCTTCCAAGCAATGCATTTATGGAAGAAAAGGAGCTTTTGCAAGCATGCATTTGCATAGGCAGCCAACCTCCTCCAGTCACACACACAGACACACACACACACGCTTTCTCCCCATCCACCCACAAAGCGTCAGTCACATTTAGAATTTGCACAAATGCACACCCTCCCTCGTACATCACAATGCACACCCTCTCACCCACCTACATATCTCTTCCACAAAAATCACACCTGCTCACATACCCTTAGAAGCACATTCCTCTGCTGTGCCCAGAGAGGAAAGATGGGGGAGAGAGGCAAGGAGAGTGGGTTGTAAGAGCTCAGGAGGCCAAACAGTCTCTGAAAAGTCAGAAGACCAGGGACTCCACAGTCCCCTCTGCCCCTGCAAGTAGAAATACTAAGAACTGAAAGGGATTCAGAATCAGAGGCAGAGGAAGCAGGAACTAAGGACTCCCTGCCTCACACAGAAAGTGTGCTGTCCCAGAGTGGACAGGGACGTGTCTCAGGCCAGGAGCTGAGGTGGGAAGTTTGTCAAGGCTGTAAGTGGACAATGCGGGGGCATCCATGACATGCCTGAGAAGCCCATTTGACAGGTGGCAAAGGATGGCCTTTGGGCTGGGATTCCCTGTCAGCTCAGGAAATGGTGGGGAGGGAATGAAGGGAGAAAAGGAGGTAGAAGGCTGGGTTTGGGCTCTGGGTTCAATATCCTCAAGGAAGAGCCTCATTGATACAGCCAGACTCATGAGGAGGAGGCTCCCCTGCACTGGAAACTTGAAGTCCCCTCCAGAGAAAAGAGGAGGAGGGGGAGAGGGCCTTGAGAAGTGACAAGTGCCCCAGTGCAGTCTGGGCAATTATGGCTTCAGCTCCACTTTGTTGTCTACGTGACCTGATCCAACTTAGCCCAGACTCAGTAACTGTGGATTCTGGAAAGGAACACGTCTTTTCCTTTAGGAAAGGATCCCGAGGTCAACCCACAGTGCTCAAGAAAATTGGCAGAGGCTGGGCGAGGTGGCTCACACCTGTAACCCTAGCACCCTGGGAGGTCAGGAGTTCGAGACCAGCCTGAGCAAGAGCGAGACCCTGTCTCTACTAAAAATAGAAAGAAATTAGCCAAACAACTCAAAATAGAAAAAATTAGCTGGGTACGGTGAAGCGTGCTTGTAGTCCCAGCTACCTGGAAGGCTGAGGCAGTAGGATCGCTTGAGCCCAGGAGATTGAGGTTGCTGTGAGCTAGGCTGACGCCACGGCACCCTAGCCCGGGCAACAGAGTGAAAGAAACTCTGTCTCAAAAAAAAAAAAAAGAAAGAAAGAAAATTGGCGGAGAGCTAGTTAAAGGAGACCTCAGGCTCCTGCCATCCAACATGTGACAGTGTCTCTCGAGTCCCTCCCTGTGCTGCCGTGTGGGGGCGCTCCCAGCTGGGCCCGTGCAGACACTGTCAGCGCTGCTGTTGTTATCATTAGTGTAATTAATAAACAAGCGCTGACGGGGCCAAGTGGAGAAGAGGCAGGCCCCTGCTGCTCAGAAGGAGAATCCCTGGAAAGATCCAATGAGGCTGTGCCAATGGGGCTGAGTGGTTACCCTTCTCTCCACCCAAGACCTCTGGAAAGGGCCTTGCGGCGAGGCAGAGGCAAGGGCAAAGGGAGGGGAGCCCTGGTAGGCTTGGTTTGGAACCAGCTCTGCATCTGCCTCACAGGATGTCCGTGGGCATGGCCACCCCCGTGATTACTGGCTGTGGGGCAGGCTCTGAGGCAGTTATTCATTCAATAGGCATCTGCCTGTTTACTTACCGAGTGCCTACTGTGTGCAAGGTGGTCTACTAATAATAGCTAATATGTCATTGGACAATGTGAGGACACAGCCAATTCTCACACCATATCCTGGGGAAAGGGGTAGAAGCAGAGGAAGCAGCTAGGAAGAATGACAGCCGGAAAAGATAGGGACGATTGGACTTTAGCCTGTGTAGTGTAGCAGCGAGTATATACAACAGATAAGACCTGAGGATTACCTTGAAAGTCTTGGAAAACTACAGACCCCAAGACCCACGTTGGAAAACATGCTGGGAAGGTGGGCTAGGGAAAATGGTCATTATCAGACAGAGGGATACTTGGTGATTAATGCATGGGAAATAGAGCACGAATATAGGGGATCTGGGTGAAAGGCTCAATGAAAAAGAGGTTCGAAGGGCTGCTAGCAGATCCTGTGGGGGGAGCCCTGGGTCACCGCAATTTCGCGGGGCTTGATGGTTGGGAGTGTCCTGGGGGTTGAGATGCTTTAAGTTCTGAGAGAGGGGGTGCTGGATTCTGGGATCAGAGTCCGGACAAAAGTTGGGGTGTGGAAGGGGCAGAGAGGTTTTGAGAGAAGGATCTGGAGTGTTGGGTTGGAAAAGATGCTGGACTGTGTTTAGGGAAAGGAGGGGCGTGGCCGGAGTGCCCATCCAGGGGACCGAGCCAGATGCTCCGGTTCGGCATTGCGGTAGCTGGGGCAGGGGTGCTGGCTGGGGCTGGGGAGGTCTGGAGGTGGGGCGCGCTGGCCGAGGCCAGGGTTAGCGCTCGGAGCGAGCCTCTCGGGGCTCCGCGGGGGGGCGGTACGAGCTCCGGCTGCGGGCGGGCCGGGGAGGAGGCGGCAGCTCGGAGAAGAACATGAATCAGCGGCGGCGGCGGCGGCTCTGGACCGAGCGCGGTGGCCCAGGAGCGGCCCCGGGGACCCCGCGCTGCTGACGGCGGCCACAGCGACTCGGAGCGGGCGCGGGTCTCGGAGGCACTCGCCCCAGCGCCGCCCCCCGGGCGGCCGCAGCTCTTCCCGCGGCCCTCCTCCCTCCTCCTCCCTCCTCCCTCGTCCCTCCTCTTCCCTCCCTCCTCCCAGCTCGCTCGCGGGCCCGGCCCGGCATGGTGCGGCGTCGCCGCCGATGGCGCTGAGGCGGAGCATGGGGCGACCTGGTCTCCCGCCGCTGCCGCTGCCGCCGCCGCCCGGGCTGCTGCTGCCGCTGCTGGCGGGTCTGGCCTCTCTGCTGCTCCGGGAGTCTGCGGCCGCAGGTAGGGGCTGGCCCGGGAGGCGGCGGAAAGCGGGGGGCTGCGGAGGGGCGCGGCCGGAGATCGGAGCCCAGGGACGGCAGTTGAGCGAGACCTGGCCTGGGCGAGCCAGAGATTTGAGTGGGGGGACTGAAGCTGGAAGGCCGAGGCTTGGGGACTGGGGAAGGGAGCGCAGCAGTGTGTTCGCTGCCAGATCTCTGATTGGGGCCCCCACCCCCAACTTTCTTGGGCCCCGGGCTTTTCTGGCGGGGTGGAAGAGAAGGGAGTGGGGTGTGTGGTCAGCGGGGAGTGTTGGGAATGGATTTTCCCGCCTCGCTGTTCCTAGTTGTTTGCTCCCCACTCCCCAGTTTAGGACCCCATTCTGCCCGCCTTACACACAAAGGTCCCACGCTGAAACCACAGGGATTGGAGCAGAGCACCCAAGGGGCATCCTGTTACCATTTAGGTACAGGGGTTGTGAGGGTGCTCAGTCATAAAAAACATCTGGGCATACTCTAGTTTCTGTGCTCTCAGAGCTTCCTGAAATAGGCAATGTTGGAAAGGATGGGCTGGGGCAATGTTGCTGGTCTTGGAGGGGGGCTTACCCTTGTGCTCCCATTTGGCTGCCCAGCCATTCCCGGTGGCAGGAGTGCCCCATGCAGCACCTTGTTCCCCAAGTTCACACTACACACCTCTGAGACTGCTGGGTGTATATGGAGTGTGGGGCTGTCCCTCCTTGTCTTGTGACTGATCCTGAGAGGGTGAAAGGAGTAGGAGCAGTAGCTACCCGGCTGGCACCTTCTCTTAAGACAACATTCACTGCCATATCAGCCTCTTGGAGAAGGGAAGGGAAAGAGAGTGGCAAGTATTTACAAGCTGAAAGGTGTGTATCTGATGTTCAGAGAACCCAGGAATTTGCCTAGAGTCACACAGCAAAGGGCATGAAGAAGCAGGACTGGATTTCATCTATGCAGATACTTCACCTGCCTCTCTTCTTTGCTTAAAAGCATGCCAAGAGCCAGGAGAGGTGTGGGGGTGTGTATGTGTGCGGAGGGTAGGGTTCCAGAGGGTGGCCTCTGTGGATGTGACAGCGGCTCCCGGGCCTTGGGCTCCCCAGCTCAGGGTGCTACCTCTCCCTTCTGCCTCCCACCTTCCTATCGCCCGCCCCTGCACACATTCAGGTATTAATAGAGCGGGTGGCTGCCAGGAAGGCTGCCATGTGTTTGATCTGACGTGGTTTTGCAGCCATATGTTCTCTACTTCAGGGGAGCACCCCCTCCTTTCCTTCCTCAGCTTCCCTTCATTTGGAAGGGTGGGGTGCAGAGGGTGCTGGCAGCAGTTCAGGGTCGGAGCTGACACCTTGGGCAGAGAGCTGGCAGCCTGTTGCACTAGTTGGGTGCAGCAGTCATTCTTAGGGCAGTGCCTGCCCACAGGGGTAAATCCCCATTGCTTCAGCCCAGCTTGCCTTTTGGTGGTTGAGCCCAGTAGCAGAGCATGGGGAAGAGGTCCTCAGAACTGGGGGGAACTTGGCAGTGACAGAAATGAGACCTGGAGTGCTTGTCATGCCCCTTCCCCTATCCCAGGTCCAGGCCACCTTCCCTCCCACACTGTCCTGCCTCTACTTCCTTGGCATTGGCCAAGAAATAGCCCTCAGACACAGAAGTTACATTCTGGAAGAGAATAAGAACTATTTCCAGAGACAAAGTCCCTCTCAAGTAGACTGACACATTTTCCTTTCGACTCCCCTAGGCCTGAAGCTCATGGGAGCCCCGGTGAAGCTGACAGTGTCTCAGGGGCAGCCAGTGAAGCTCAACTGCAGTGTGGAGGGGATGGAGGAGCCTGAGATACAGTGGGTGAAGGACGGGGCTGTGGTCCAGAATGTGGACCAGCTGTACATCCCAGTCAGCGAGCAGCACTGGATTGGCTTCCTCAGGTGCAGGACTGTGGGGGGAGGCGTGGGGGGCCAGCCTGGGGGCAGGCTGTGCTCTTTCCTTGGGTCTTGGGAGCTGGGGACTGTGCTGATGCCCAGAAGTCTGTGCTTTTTTTTTTTTTTTTTTAAATTTGGCACCTTGTGGAACCTTCTAGAAGTGGGGGCAGGCTGAACCCATCAAGTCTGCCTAGCAGAGTTGCCCCCCTTGACCCTGGGAAGCAAGCCTACTATATCCTGTTTCCACAGCCTGAAGTCAGTGGAGCGCTCTGATGCGGGCCGGTACTGGTGCCAGGTGGAGGATGGGGGAGAAACTGAGACCTCTCAGCCAGTGTGGCTCACGGTAGAAGGTGAGGAGGCAGAGCCACATGGGCATGTTGGCCTGGAGCAGGTGCTGTCTGCTCGTGACCATACCGCTGCAGAGAAGAACTCAGTGGAAGCTGGGCTGCCGTACTACTCTCTGGGGCCTGGTTGTACCAGGCTCTAGGCCCACCTCAGATATCAGAAGACCCTACTTGTTGGACTTCGGATACCTGAGGACCAAGGGGGCAACCAGGATCCACAACCGATGGGGTGCAGGCTATTTCAGTTGTCTGAGCAACAAGCCTCAAGCACCCATCTGGGGCTGGACCCTGTTCTGCCAAGTGGCCTGGCCAGCGGGAGGAGGGATGAGGGAGGGGAGGAAGGCTCCACAGCTGTGAGCTCAGAGCTGTTCAGCCCAGGAAAACAAAGTGACTAAGAAAGTAACAAAGGGCCCTGAAAGGGAGCTGGGGCCTGCCAGCAGAACTCTGCTAAAGCTCCCACCCACTCCTCCTCCCTTCATGCCCCTCCCCCAGTTCCCCACCCCCAGCCTCCTCCCTTACTCGAGAAGGGCTGTCAGAGAAGGTCTGGAAAGGGAGTGTGGGGGCTGTTCACAGAATCTGCCATGCCTAAGGGGGCAGCATAAAAGATACGCCTAAGGCTGGGGCAGTAGTGTCTCACGCCTATAATCCCTAGCACTCTGGGAGGCTGAGAGGCTCGAGGGACTCAAGAGACCATCCTGAGCAAGAGTGAGACCCGTCTCTACTAAAAATAAATATAAATAAATAAAAATAAAATATATGCCTAAGGTGCAGGGCAGGCATGGTGGCAGCAGTGCAAGCCTGTAGTCCTGGCTACTGGGAGGCTAAGGTGAGAGGATCATTTGAGTCCAGGAGTTTGAGGCCAGCCTGGGCAACATAGTGAGACCCCTGTCTCAAAAAAAACAAAAAGGTATTCCTAAGGAGGCTGAAGAAGAGCAGCACCATTCACACCCCAACCTAGGGGCCTGTTCTGCTATTTACCCAGTCGTAAGGGGCCCGTGGGGGTCTTCTGCATAGAGGACTTCAAATCGAAGCAGACTTGTGATTTGTGCAGTAGGAAGCCAAGAGATAGTGAAGCTAACACCCGCACTCCCCTTCTCTTCCTAGGTGTGCCATCTTTCACAGTGGAGCCAAAAGATCTGGCAGTGCCACCTAATGCCCCTTTTCAACTGTCTTGTGAGGCTGTGGGCCCCCCTGAACCTGTTACCATTGTCTGGTGGAGAGGAGGCACGAAGGTTGGGGGACCTGCTCCGTCTCCATCTGTTTTAAATGTAACAGGTGAGCAGTCTCATGAGGGCACTCTGAGCCGGGAAGGAGCTGGGTCCTCGAGGGTCAGGAAGCTGGCAGAGTTTGAATCTGCTTCACTCGCTGAGTTTGCTGTTGTGAGTGTCCAGAGCAAACCCCAGTGCCTGGGTGCATGGGCTGCACCATTACTAAGCTCATTAGTCAGGTGTGCTGGGCTGGCCGGGTGGGCTGATTAGTGGTGATCCCGCTGTGCTTAGGGAGGGTGGGGGCCTCCTTTTGTTCACAGCAGGCCAGACCATGCACAGCTGGCCATGGGAGATGAATTGTGTGAGACCAGGGGCACCCATCCCTCCTCCTCCTCCCAAGGGACAGAGCCAGAAACCAGCCCACGCAGAGCTAGGGAGGAGTATCTGGCAGACACTGAGAAGACAAGACTGTTAGGCTGCGGAGGGGAAGGAGGGGAGTGAGAAGGAGTAGGGGGAGGCAGCATAAAGATACAGGGGCCTCCTCTCCTAATGGCTCTTTCCAGAAATCTCCAGACATTTTCCCAAACAACTGTACCTGTCCATACCTCTGCACAGTCACACCTGCGCACCCACCTGGGCCCCAAGATCCTCGGCACATACCTCACATGTTTGTGAGGCACGCTTATTTGTGAAACAAAGTTTACTGTTTCTGGTTGAGGCTTAAGTGAGCAAAAAGATGGGAGACCAAGCTTGGTCTTATGCGCTGGAAGGTAGGAGGGAAGGGGCCCTGAGCTGTTAAGTCCCCAGCAATTTGAATCTTGAGAAGAGGTGGACCACAGGACCTGTAGTCTTGCCCTCTTGGAAGCGAGCGAGGCGCAGAGTTGGAACAGATTGGAGAGGAGGCTGGGTTCACTTCCTCCAGATGCGCGTGGTTGGGACCCTGAGGCAGGCAGCCTGATAATAAGTACTCACTAAACTCCTACTCCACACACCACACTGTGCTAGGCACTGCAGGGGACTGAGGGAACACAAAGGAAATAGAAGCCATTGTTCAGCCCCCAAAGAATTGAGTATAATTGGGGCGACAAGACACATGCATAAGGAGCTGGGAACTATTGCTAGGCAAAGAATCTGGAAGTCCAACATGATAGGGCGTAGAGCAAACAGAGGATCTCTGGTGTGTGCAATAAAGGAGTGACCAGAAAAGAGCCAGTTTTGTGTTGTCTGTGGGAGATGGGACTGAGGTGGGAGAATGGTGTAAATTTCTCAAGTGCTTACTGCATGTCATGCACTTTACACGAATTATGCATTACCTGATTCTCAGAATTCTCCCATTTGAGAGATGAGAAGACAGAGCCCCATCCAGGCTCGTTAGTTTCCAGAGTCATTGTTCATTTCACTGTGTCCGACTGTCCATCCATTTCCTTTGGCTGGAGGAACTTCTAGGATGTTTAGGTCAGAGCCTGAGTGGGAATTGCTGCTTGGGGGGCTGACTGAGGTTTTCTGGTCCCAGGGGTGACCCAGAGCACCGTGTTTTCCTGTGAAGCTCACAACCTAAAAGGCCTGGCTTCTTCACGCCCAGCTACTGTTCGCCTTCAAGGTAGGACTGAGCCAGGTATGGTGGCTTGCACATATAGGGGAGGCTGAGGGTGGAGGGTCACTTGAGCCCAGGACTTTGAGGCTGCTCTGAGCAGCCTGGCTCATGGCAGCTGGGACTGGCTTGGTGGGGGAGGAACAGGAGGTGAGGCCAGGGGCATTCTGAGTGGGCTGTCCTGCAGTTAGAATCATTTGCTGTTCCAGCTTCCCTCAGTTCTGCTGGGATCTCAGGGATGAGGAGTTAATTGGCATAGCTCCCATTCCTAGTGGGAGCACCTGAGACCCTGCCGTGGCTGAGATGAGAATAGAATCCTGACGTCACAGCAGATTTCCCATAACGAAGCCGAGTCCTTGGGAGGGAGGGAGAGAAGGAGCCAGTAGGAGATGGTCAAAGCTCCTGCCCTACCTTGTTTCTGGCAATCCCTGTGAGGGGCTGGGGGTGGGGAAAGCGGCCTCATCAGGACACAGGAGGTCCAAAGGGCTGAGGGAGGGAGAGAGCTGGTGTGTGGGCTGTGGCTGCAGGGGCAGCTGCCTGTCTCTCCTTTGTCTTTCCCAAGGCTGGAGGTTCTGCCCCCACATACTCTTATTCCACATATTCTTATTCCTTGGTCAGAAAGGGCCCCTGATTCAGGGAGAGGCGGCCTCTCTCCACAGCCTAGGCACTCTCCCAGGTATGAGCAGCTGTGACTTGTGTACCCCTGTGGTCCTGGGAGTGCCCCAGACGCTAGGGAGGGACTCAAGTCTCCACTTCATGCCTCCTGCTCGCTCCTCCCACATCCTTACCCAGCACTGACTCTAAGTCCCCATCCGCAGCGCTGCCTGCAGCCCCCTTCAACATCACCGTGACGAAGCTCTCCAGCAGCAATGCTAGCGTGGCCTGGATGCCAGGTGCTGATGGCCGAGCCCTGCTCCAATCCTGCACAGTTCAGGTAGGCTGAGATAGACTGGGCAGGCTCTTTAGGCCTAGCTATATGCATTTTGGCTGCCTGCTGGCACTTTTGTTGACAGTGGTGTCACCCTTACCTGGTCTAGTAACGCTGTTATCTGTACTAGACCTGCCCATGGGGCTTGGTCTCCAGCTCTGTTCAGGTGGTGCCCCTTAGCAGGAAGAGCCCAGGCCACTGTCTCTTACCGAGGTGCTCTGGCAACTAAGTGACTCTGCAGATTGGCTCAAACCCGTGCATTCTTCAGGCTGGAAAGCAGATACTAGAGCAGATTTGAGGTACCTGGAAGAGTTTTTCTTACGTGAGTGAAAACTCAAATCTTTGATTTATGTGATATACTCTCATGCCTCCCCCACCCCCCCCACCCCCATCTTAAGCCAGAGAGAACAAGAGGACCAGAAGGGTCCTAAGCCGTGGTAAGTGAAAAACTGGGTAAAGTGATAAGAACTAAGAGGCAATGCAGGCTTGCTCATTTGAGTCTGTTTATTTAAAAGGTATTTAATGAGCACCTTTCAAAACTGTTCTAGGCAGTTCTGTGCAGGAGGGACCCCTGCCCTGGGCTCTACTATTTAGAGGACCCCACTCTGGCCCTCCTTTGGCCATACCCCTTGGCCCTGGGCAAAGAGTATGCAGAGACAAGAGGACATGCCCATCCAGATCATGAGGACTCCTCACCACCACACCATAGTCTAGATCAGAGGTCCTCAAACTTTTTAAACAGGGGGCCAGTTCGAGACAGAGTCTCACTTTCTTGCCAGGCTAGAGTGAGTGCCATGGCGTCAGCCTGGCTCACAGCAACCTCAATCTCCTGGGCTCAGCAATCCTACTGCCTCAGCCTCCCTAGTAGCTGGGACTACAGGCATGCGCCACCATGCCCGGCTAATTTTTTTTTGTATATATATTTTTAGTTAGTCAATTAATTTCTTTCTATATTTTGGTAGAGACGGGGTCTTGCTCAGGCTGGTTTTGAACTCCTGACCTCGAGCAATCCGCCCGCCTCGGCCTCCCAGAGTGCTAGGATTACAGGCGTGAGCCACCACACCCGGCCTATTTATTTTTTTTTTTTGAGACAGTCTCACTTTGTTGCCCAGGCTAGGGTGAGTGCCGTGGTGTCAGCCTAGCTCACAGCAACCTCAATCTCCTAGGCTCAAGTGATCCTTCTGCCTCAGCCTCCTGAGTAGCTGGGACTATAGGCATGCGCCACCATGCCCGGCTAATTTTTTGTATGGTCAATTTTTAGTTGGTCAATTAATTTCTTTCGATTTTTTTTTAGTAGAGACAGGGTCTCGCTCAGGCTGATTTCAAACTCCTGGCCTCGAGCAATCCACCTGCCTCAGCCTCCCAGAGTTCTAGGATTACAGGCATGAGCCACCACGCCCGGGCCACATAGCTTATTTTGAAATAAAAAAACAAATGGGCAAAAACACCCGCATGTGGCCTGCGGGCCCTAGTTTGAGGACACATGGTCTAGATATTCAGGATCTCTTGCCCTAATGGCCCTGAGTCTGCTTCCAGGGCCTATGTGGGCCTCTTCCCTGGTCCATCCTTCCAGGATGTGATATGTGCGCCTCTAAGTCCAAGGGGCAGCCCTTGTTGGGGGGGATGGGAACTGAGCTTGGGTGTGCAGGTAGCGTCGTCCACACCTGTGCACATGAGGCCCACTCATGGTGCAAACCCTTGGCTGGGGGCCAGCTGTTCCAGTGCCCCCCTCATCCTGACTTGGGAATCCAAGAATTTAGAGAATTATAAATGCAAACCTGACCTTCCAGGTTGTTTTGAAGGTTTATTTGTGGACAATGTTAAGAAAAAAAAGTATTTAATAGTTTGTTAGTTGATTTATAATGTTTGAATATTCAGCCCCATATGGTATATGGATCTCTGTTTATGCCCAAATGTAAGGCCTGGGGCTGGTTCTTGGTGCCCCTAGGCTCCCAGTTTCTCTGATCTCCAGAAGCTCTGAGTCTTTGAAATGGCTTGTAAGCATAACAATAATGGTAAGTACTCTAACAGCTATGCACAAAGAACAAAGGGACAAGAGGAGTTTACTGGAGTAGATAAGAAAGCGTTGGCTGGACATGGTGGCTCTAGCCTGTAATCCTAGCACTCCGGGAGGCCCAGGCAGGGGGATTGCTCGAGGTCAGGAGTTTGAAACCAGCCTGAGTGAGACTCCGTCTCTACTATAAATAGAAAGAAATTAATTGGCCAACTAATATATATAGAAAAAATTAACCCGGCATGGTGGTGCATGCCTGTAGTTCCAGCTACTTGGGAGGCTGAGGCAACAGGATTGCTTGAACCCAGGAGTTTGAGGTTGCTGTGAGCTAGGCTGACGCCACGGCACTCACTCTAGCCTGGGCAACAAAGCGAGACTGTCTCAAAAAAAAATAAAATAAAAATTTAAAAAAAGGCTTTCACCAAGAAAGTGATATTTGGACTGAGTAGGGCTTTGCTAGGAAGAGCAGCTCATTCTGAGCAAAAGGAACAGCCTTTGCAAAGGCATGAAGGTGTGGAACACGGTGTGATATTGGGGTAGGGGCAGGTGGGAGGGGTTGGGTTGCAAATGTTTGCTGCTAGACTTAGAAGAAGCATTAATTCAAGCCCCCATACCTATATCCCATCTTCTGTCTCATCTCACAGGCCATTGGGACTGCCCTTCCCTGTCTCATTAGTTTTCTGCTTTTCTGCAGGTGACGCAGGCCCCAGGAGGCTGGGAGGTCCTGGCTGTTGTGGTCCCGGTGCCACCCTTTACCTGCCTGCTCCGGGACCTGGTGCCTGCCACCAACTACAGCCTCAGGGTGCGCTGTGCCAATGCCTTGGGGCCTTCTCCCTATGCTGACTGGGTGCCCTTTCAGACAAAGGGTCTAGGTAAGGGACTCCAAGCAGAGGGGCTGGGCAGGGCTGGAGCAAGTAAGGGGTGGTGTTGGCTTTAGTTCTGAATAAAGTTGATTGAGAGGAGCTACCAGACAGAGAGGTTCAGGCATCATTTTTATCTAATTCTTGTGAATGGAACAGATAAGCAAACTAGAAACAAATCAGATAATACAGTGCTGAAGAATGTCCCTGGGCAGTCGAGGAAAACCCTCTAAAGAGATCTGGGTGAGGTCTGAATGAAATCATGTAAATATTTGGGGGAAATCACTGAAGGAGGAAGGCACAGCAAGTGCAAAGATCCTGTGGCAAGAACTTGCTGGGAGTTCTCTAGCAAGAAGGCTGGCATGGCTGTTGAGAGGGGAATGGTGAAGGATGGGGTACAGGGGTGGTAATCACAGTGATAAAGAGCAGCACTTCTGAGCTGGGGTGCTGCCAGCCCACTGCTTAAGGTGGGTGAGAGCAGTCAGAGCTGGGAGGTGAACCCTTTCCCCCGTCTGTTGCTCTCCAAGCTCTTTAGTTCTTGGGCATTGGTCTGCATGGGATAGTGATGGTGGGAAGGGCAGGGATCTTAGCAACCTTCTCTCTTTGGGTACAGCCCCAGCCAGCGCTCCTCAAAACCTCCATGCCATCCGCACAGACTCAGGCCTCATCCTGGAGTGGGAAGAAGTGATCCCTGAGGGCCCTTTGGAAGGCCCCCTGGGACCCTATAAACTGTCCTGGGTTCAAGACAATGGAACCCAGGTAAGGGAAATGGAAACCTCCACTTTCTCTACTCTCCTGCAATATCACCCCTCAGGGTTCTAAGGCCTTGAAGGGCTTCAGAATGACAATCTTTGGTGGGCCTGGGCTTCCCACTGCCCTAGGGAATCAACTCCTCCCCACCCTCCCCTGCAAACTCCACCCCTCATTGGAAAATGTCTCCTGTTAGGTTTGCATCCTGTGTCCACTTTGTGTATAAAGCAGGAAGCACATTCCTGCATCAACTGGGGGAGGGCACAGATAAGGCTTTGTCCCCAGCTCAATCCCCTCCCATCCCCCACCTGAGCATTCCAACTGAGCCTTGTTTGTGTTCTGGAGAGGCCTCTGCAGCCTGGAGCAAGAATGTGATGACTCCCACAAGGTCGTGTTCCTGCAGCCCCTGAACCCACAGTGCCCCTGGACTTCCATGTTCCTAGCTGGACCTTTTCCTGCCCTCAAGCCCCAACAGGATGCCTTCTTTTCAGGCTCAGTGTGGGTTGGGGCTTTTCCTGGCTGCAGGATGAGCTGACAGTGGAGGGGACCAGGGCCAATTTGACAGGCTGGGATCCCCAGAAGGACCTGATCGTGCGTGTGTGCGTCTCCAATGCAGTTGGCTGTGGACCCTGGAGTCAGCCACTGGTGATCTCTTCTTATGACCATGCAGGTGAGGCCTGTAGGGGGATGGGGAATCAAGGCTTTCAAGGAAGTCCTAGACTGGTAGGAGGCTGGGAGTGACTTCCCTCCTAATAAAGTGAGAGTTAAGCAGCTGGGGCCAAGGTTGGGGGTAGGTGAGAACAGCTAGGGCCTGTCACTGACCAGGTAGGAAGTCCTGGGTCTTCCTCTGGAGCCTCTTTCACTCAGGCCCCCTACTGACTTAGAGGAGCCTCTTTATCAGGCTGGAAGGCCCTCCTGGGAAAGTTCTAAAGGGACCCCTTGATGTCAGCCTCGCTCATGCCACTGCCCCTCCCTCCCACAGGTCAGCAGGGCCCTCCCCACAGCCGCACATCCTGGGTGCCTGTGGTGCTCGGCGTGCTCACAGCCCTGGTAACGGCGGCTGCCCTGGCACTCATCCTGCTTCGGAAGAGGCGGAAGGAGACACGGTTCGGGTAAGGAGGTGGGGACGTGGAGGGAAAGGCAGGTGGTGACAGATGTTGGAGCTGATCCCAAGTCCTGGCTTTCCCTTTAGGCAAGCTTTTGACAGTGTCATGGCCCGGGGGGAGCCAGCCGTTCACTTCCGGGCCGCCCGGTCCTTCAATCGAGAAAGGCCTGAGCGCATCGAGGCTACATGTGAGTAGGGGGTGTCACGGGAGGGACAAATGGGCCATGTTCTGTCTCTATCTGCAGTCCTTTTGCCAACTCACTAATTTGGCCAGTGTGTCTGGTCCTTGATGAGTCCCAGGCACACAGTGACAGAGACACAGACCTTCCCTCCAGGAGGTCACCACCCCAGCTGTGGGAGAGCTCAGCTCAGCCCTGTGCTCTGAGGGCAGAGGCTGGGGGATAAGCAGCAGGCTGGGGCTTGGATCAGGACTCAGAGATCCCTCCCCTTTCTCACCAACCCCCTCCCCACAGTGGACAGCTTGGGCATCAGTGATGAACTAAAGGAGAAACTGGAAGACGTGCTCATTCCGGAGCAGCAGTTCACCCTGGGCCGGATGTTGGGCAAAGGTACGTGGGGCTGTGCAGGGACTGGCGTGAGTTTGCCCCTATCACTTTGAGGGTGTGGATTGGGGTCAGCTCCTATAAACAAGATATGCTTGTAGACTCCTGAGTTTGGAATGCTAGGGGAATGGTGGCTGGAGACAGGGAGGGCTGAGGAGCCACTCCCAACATGTTTTGCTTTGGCTATGGGCAAGGTAGCCTCCTCCAGCCTCTGATGATTTCATGTCCCTATGGAGGGTCACCTGGGAAGGAGGAGGGTGGACAGGGAGGCCAAGGAGACTCCCACTCATTCGGATCGATTCCTAGGAGAGTTTGGTTCGGTGCGGGAGGCCCAGCTGAAGCAGGAAGATGGCTCCTTTGTGAAAGTGGCTGTAAAGATGCTGAAAGGTGAGAAGATAGTAGTTGTGGCATGAGGACATCCCTTGGGAGGGAAAAAGGGGTGACTAATCCTGAAGCAGGCTCTGTTTTGCCCCTAGATTTTTCAAGAAGCACTAGTTAGCACTAGCTGTCTGTACCATGTGAATAATTCACAAGCATAAACACACACAGATTTGTGCCCCAACCATTGCTCTCTGCTGTCAGCAGTGACAGTCCTCTGAGTTCCCTCCTGGGCTGATTGCAGCTATGGCTGGTTGAGCTGCTGGGCTGCCCAGACCACAGGGAAGGCATCAGCAGTGGAGAAGTTGTTGGATACCACCACTCCATGGGGGTTTCTCTTGCTCATGGCTGACTGTTTGCTGGGGCCCCTTAGAAGCCCAGAACATCTGAAGGATAAGACCTAGGAGTCTTGGGTCAGAGCTAGGGACACATCTCGCTTCATTCCCTCCTTCCAATCCTTTTCTCTCAGCTGACATCATTGCCTCAAGTGACATCGAAGAGTTCCTCAGGGAAGCGGCTTGCATGAAGGAGTTTGACCATCCACACGTGGCCAAGCTTGTTGGTGAGCCCCTTTTGGGGGGAGGCAGATATAGAATCAGGTTAAAAAAATGCTCTGCCAAGGTGAGAGGGCAGTCTATAGGAGAGAAGGTTGGACTTACCTGGTAAGTAGGCAGATGGCAAAATAGCAAGGAGAGTCCTGGCTAAAACCCGACCATGCTGCAGGTGAGGAGTACCAAGGTGCATGAGGACTGCTCATGTGGAAAGAAGAGGAGAAGGAGGTGACAGAAGATGCTCTAGGGATCTGGGAGCAGCCAGAGCCCTCCTGGGTAGTCCCTAGACCAGTATGGAACCTGTGGGAAAAGAGATAGCATAGCCAGGGCTAGAGGGGGGACCCAGCTGGTGGGGGATTATGTAGACACTTGAGTTGTCCCTTGACCTTTATGTGCTCAGCTCCTGACTCTCCCTTGTCCCAGGGGTGAGCCTTCGGAGCAGGGCTAAAGGTCGCCTCCCTATCCCCATGGTCATCCTGCCCTTCATGAAGCACGGGGACCTGCACGCCTTCCTGCTTGCCTCCCGGATTGGGGAGAACCCTTTTGTGAGTGCCTGGGGTGGGGGTGGCCAGGAGGTAACAGGGGTGGGAGAAAAGGGCCTGGAAAGGGACAGAGACCATGGCAGAAAGGGACTTGGCGGGCAAGGCCAATGGAGCTAGTTGAGAGTAGAATGGCTGAGTTTGAATTCCTTTAGGCTAGCAGGCTTCCTTTTCTCTTATAAAACTCTGCTGGGAATTTTAGGCTGGACAAGGGCCCCTTCTGGGAGAAGAGACTTGTGGAGCCGCAGGCTGGGGACGTATTGGCTCTCAGGCTCTCTCGGACTTGCTGAAGCTTCCGTGCCTTGGGAAGGCCCTCCATCCCCTTTCCTTCCTTCCAGTGATTCTGAGGACAGTCTTTAGGCTTTCTGGCCAGGGAATCCCATTCCTCCTGCCTCAGGTCCAGCCTGAGCTCTCCCTGTCTGCCCACCAGAACCTGCCCCTCCAGACCCTGGTCCGGTTCATGGTGGACATTGCCTGTGGCATGGAGTACCTGAGCTCTCGGAACTTCATCCACCGGGACCTGGCCGCTCGAAACTGCATGTATGAATTCTGGAGGGCTCGGGGGTGGGAGACAGCAGCCAGTACAGGAGGAGCTAGCTAATGTTTGGCTGCTGACTGGGATAGTATCTGATATGCACTGGGGACAGCTTGGGAGTAGCACTAGAAACGCTGTGGGCACGGGGGAAGGCTGACCTCATCCTTCGACACCCCTCACAGGCTGGCAGAGGACATGACGGTGTGTGTGGCCGACTTTGGGCTCTCCCGGAAGATCTATAGCGGGGACTACTATCGTCAGGGCTGTGCCTCCAAATTGCCCGTCAAGTGGCTGGCCCTAGAGAGCCTGGCTGACAACCTGTACACTGTGCACAGTGATGTGGTGAGCAGGGTGGCACGATGAGGCTTCGTGCTAACTCAGGTGGGGTGGACTAGTGTCAGAGCAGACCTTTAGGGCCCTCCAGGGCCTCGCTGGGTCTGCTCTCTGGCATTTTGCTGCCCAGTGATGAGGCCCCTGAGCCCCAAGGCTCTACCTGGTTCAGCAAGGCTAATGACACCTTCCCCCCAACCTCGATTCTGTCCCAGTGGGCCTTCGGGGTGACCATGTGGGAGATCATGACTCGTGGGCAGACGCCATATGCTGGTATCGAAAACGCTGAGATTTACAACTACCTCATTGGCGGCAACCGCCTGAAACAGCCTCCGGAGTGCATGGAAGACCTGTGAGTACCCTGGGAAGGGGATTCTGGAAGGAAATAGGAGTCTGGGGTTTTTGCAGCTGGCCCAGTGGGAGCTCAGAACCTCAACTGGATTGTTTTGTTTTCTGGTAGGAACATCCTTATAGTTAGAGGGAAGGCTGTTCCTCCACCACTTCCCTGGTTTCTTTCTTTCCCCCTTTACTAGCCCATATTTCTTATTTTTATTTATTTATTTTTTTAAATTTTATTATTTTAATATATTTTTTTAAATAATTTTAAAATTAAAAAGTAGAGATGGGGCCTCGTTCTTGCTCAGAGAGGTCTCGAACTGCTGTCCTTGAGCTATCTGCTGGCCTCGGCCTCCTAGAGTGCTAGGATTATAAGCATGAGCCACCATGCCTGGCCTAGCCCATATTTCTTGCTCCAGCCTTTTTCTGTCACTCTCTTTGCTCCAGTTTCTAGGGAGAACTAAGAACCCCAGGGCCCCCAGAGCCCCTTGGGGCTCAGGGGCCTCATCACTGGGCAGCAAAATGCCAGAGAGCAGACCCAGTGAGGCCCTGGAGGGCCCTAAAGGTCTGCTCTGACACTAGTCCACCCCACCTGAGTGGGGTGAGGATTGAGCAACAGTGCAGGTTTCCCTGTCACCTTCTCCCCAACCCTATCTCCTTTGTCCTTCTCAAGACCCAGCTAGCCTAAGGAAACCTCCCTGGCTGGTGCTGAGCTCTCCCTCCTAGTCAGATAGGACTGCACAGGCCACAGAACACTGCTACTTCCGCTGCTGTCCTTGCCTGGCAAGGAGGAGCAGAGGGAGTGGGAGGTTAGCTTGCTTTCATGGTCTTGGCCTCCTCTGTAGGGAGTGGAAGGGACCTAAGATAAGGAACTGAGATCCTGGGAAGAAGGGAACTGCCTCCCTTCCTTTCTGCAAGGCCGAAGCCCTCGGGAGTGGAGGGGGGCGTGTGGTGACACCTCCCACTGTAAAGAATGGTGTCAAACCCTTGTGACAAGATGAGGGTAAGTATCACTAACATTAGCTGGGCACCTTGGGCTTTCTTTCAGGTAATCTTGCTTTAACATATGAGGAAAAGACTATTATTATACTCATTCTGTAGATGAGGAAATGAGATTAAAGACGTTAAGTAACATGGCCAGGGTCACAGAGCTATTAAATGAATGAGATGGGATTTGAACCTACATCCCTGTGATTTTAGAGTATGTGCGCTTTTTTTTTTTTTTTTTTTTTTTTGACACAGAGTCTGGCTCTGTTGCCCGGGCTAGAGTGCCGTGGCATCAGCCTAACTCACAGCAACCTCAAACTCCTGGGCTCAAGCAATCCTTCTGTCTCAGCCTCCCAAGGGGCTGGGACTACAGGCACACGCCACCATGCCCGCTAATTTTTTCTATATATATTAGTTGGCCAATTAATTTCTTTCTATTTATAGTAGAGACAGGGTCTCCCTCTTGTTCTGGTTTCGAACTCCTGACGTCGAGCAATCCGCCCGCCTCGGCCTCCCAGAGTGCTAGGATTACAGGTGTGAGCCACTGTGCCCGGCCTAGAGTATGTGCTCTTAACCATGACAGCAACTGTGATTTGTCTGTTCTAGTCTTACTACCTCTCCCTCCAAGCCAGGGTCTCCCAGGGCCTCCTGAGGACCTTTTGTGAGCAACAGGGAGGAGGAGTCCACTGTGATCCAGAGGGAAGAATCTGCCATTTCTTGCTCTAAGGTTGGGCCCACAGAGGGCCGAGGTGATGGACAGGCAGAGGAAGGTTCAGCCTGAATGGTGGGGTCCTTCTCTAGGGTAGTGGGTTTGAAGTGTCCTGAGTGGGCTGTGAGTGATTCACCTGCACCTGAGAGAGAAATCTGAGAACATAAACCAGGCCCCTCCTATCCCCTCAGCAGAGTTTAGGGCATGGTAGGGGCAGGACGCGTAGGTCTTGCTGTGGCTGCTGCCTGCCTCAGCCAATTCTGGAACTGGAGAAACTGATGGGCAGTGGGGACCAGGCCCGGGCTCAGCTTCCTCCCAGGCTGGAGCTGGTATTGTCAATGGAGGGTGGGCGGGCACCGGCCTCCCACCAGGCAGCCTGGTGGACAGGCGCCAGTTGGCTCCAGGCACAGCCTTGAGAATGTGTCCCTGTCTGGCTACGTACCCATGGCCCCAGACCATTCCCATAGCCTGCTGGTGTCTGGCATGATCGCCCCCATCCCTGGGGCAGCTGTCAGCAGGGCGGGTGTGTGAGGCAATGCTTGGGGCTTTTGTCATGGGCACAGGCAAGAAAATTGGGCATTTGCTTTTACTGGACTTGGTCTCCAGCCCATTCCCATTAGGTTTTTGGGTTTTTTTCCCCTCTATCTTGAGGCATTCCTTGGGAATTGTGAGTGACAGGCTTCCCAGTATCTACAAGTCTCCTGAAATTGTATGTAAACAAGTATTCCTGCCAGAGGAGGCCTGGAAGCTTTTATCAGATACTCACAGGTATCTGTGAACAGGGAGGATGTCAGCCTGCCTGAGCTGGTGCTGCTCGCCCAGCAAAGGGGGAACTCTGTTTTTGTTTGTTTTCGTTTTTTTAGGGGGGGGACAGAGTCTCACTTTGTTCCCCAGGCTAGAGTGCTGTGGCATCAGCCTAGCTCACAGCAACCTCAAACTCCTGGGCTCAAGCGACCTACTGCCTCAGCCTCACGAGTAGCTGGGACTACAGGCATGCGCCACCATGCCTGGCTAATTTTTTCTATATATATTAGTTGGCCAATTAATTTCTTTCTATTTATAGTAGAGATGGGGTCTTGCTCTTGCTCAGGCTGGTTTCGAACTCCTGACCTCGAGCAATCCGCCTGCCTCGGCCTCCCGGAGTGCTAGGATTATAGGCGTGAGCCACCACGCCCGGCCCCGGCTAATATTTTCTATATAGTTTTAGTTGGCCAATTAATTTCTTTCTATTTTTAGTTGAGAAGGGGTCTCGCTTTTGCTCAGGATGGTTTCGAACTCCTGACCTTGAGTGATCCATCTGCCTCAGCCTCACAGGGTTGCTAGGATTACAGTTGTGAGCCACTGTGCCTGGCCATACTGGGAACTCTGGAGCTAACCTATCTGGCTTCAAATCACAGCTCTGTCACTTTCTACCTGTGTAACCTTAGACAAGGATCTTAAGCTCTCAGTGCTTCAGTTTCCACATTTGTAAAATAGGGTTCATTTATTGCATAAGATTGTTGTGAGAATTAAATAATTCGATAAATGTAAAATACTTAGAACAGTGCCTGATACATAATAGGCCCTATACACGAGTGTACTGAAAAACATTTTTAAAAAAATCCCAGTGCCATATGATCAAGGGGCTTCTGCATTTGAGGGAGGGGCTGCTACCTCCCCTCACCCTTCTCTCCACCCCAGGTATGAGCTCATGTACCAGTGCTGGAATGCCGACCCCAAGCAGCGCCCGAGCTTCACGTGTTTGCGAATGGAACTGGAGACCATCCTGGGCCAACTGTCCGTGCTGTCCACCAGCCAGGACCCCTTGTACATCAACATCGAGCGAGCCGGGGAGCCTGCCGAGGAAGGCAGCCTGGGGCTGCCTGGTGGGCATCAGCCCGGCAGCGGGGCTGGGGATGGCAGTGGCATGGGGGCAGTGGGGGGCACCCCCAGTGACTATCGGTACATCCTCAGCCCCGGAGGGCTGGCTGAGCGGCCAGGACAGGCGGAGCAGGAGCAGCAGCCAGAGAGCCCCGTCAGCGAGGCCCAGAGACTGCTGCTGCAGCAGCAAGGGCTGCTGCCCCACAGTAGCTGTTAGCCTCTAGGCAGAGGGACCGTCCTGCTGGTTCTGCTGGCCGCTGTGCTGGCTGACTAAGCCCCGTCTGACCCCAGCCCAGACAACAAGGTGTGGAGACTCCTGTGGTAGTCCTCCCAAGCTGTGCTGGGAAGCCTGGATTGACCAAATTGCCCAATCCCAGTTCTTCCTGCAACCACTCTGTGGCCAACCTGGCATCAGTTCAGGCCTTGGCTTGATGGAGGTGGGCCAGGCCTGGTTGTCTGAGCCTAGGCAGCTGGCAGGAGGGGGGTAGTTATGTTTCCATGGTTATCATGGGTATGGATGGCAGTGGAGGAAGGGTAGATCCAGTCCTGTGGGCTCCTACCCTCCCTGCTGAGCTGCCCCTGCTGCTTTAATGCATGCATTGAGCTGCCTCCGGCCTGGGGGCCCAGCTGTGCCCGCAGTTGGAATTTAAATGCCTAGGTTTGTCCCTCCAAGTCACAAAGAGTGCCCTTGTATTATTCCCTTTTAGGTAAAAGTTGATAAGGGGTTGGTACAGTTGGGTCCCAAGCCTTGTGGTAGGAGGCAGTGGAATACTCTCAGGTCTGAATTTTTGTCACCTTCCTGATTCCCCACCCTGCCTAGGCCAGGAGAAGGGGGGTGAAAGGAGGGTGCTTCACTGAAGCTGGCAAGTTCACACCGAGGCATGCTGGAGTGCCACAGGCTACCAGATGCCCATCTTCTAAAGGCAATGCGCTGAGCCCAGCAAGAGGAAGGGGTGCTGTGGGGCTTACCTAGGAATGGGTGAGGCTGGAGAGGTGTTCAGGAGCCCCTCTCCAGGCCTTCCCACAGTCTGTCTGAGCATGCTATGAAATCCCAAAATATCCTAAGACTAACAAAGGCAGCTGTGTCTGAGCCCAGCCCTTCCAACCGTGACCCTGAGTCCCAGCTTCCCCTCTAACTGGAGACCCCTTCTGTCCCACGTCTCCAAAGAGAAAATAGGCCTGATGGCTGGTGTGGGTGAGGGGGATTCTGGAGCCTGGGCCCCAGCCCTGGCTGGGGGAGCCCCCTGTAATGCATGGGGCAGGCCCTTGCTGTTAGGGACATTTCCAAGTGGTTAGTTGCTGTTTAAAAACAAATAAAATTGAAGACTAAAGATCTAAGATTTTGTCTCTTAAATGTTTACTTTTTTTCAGATGATAAAAATGAAGCATTTCCACATAGAGAAAAGTCTGGAAAGACATATGTCAAAATGTTAACAGCTGTTACCTTTATATGCTGTGCTTAAGGGACTTTTTTTCTTTGTGCTCCACTTTTCTGCATTGAGCACAAAATGCTTTTGTAATTAGATAAGATGCCAACCAGTCTTATCATATTAAAGATTATACAGAGTCACTGTAGACAATTAGGAAAATACAGAAAATTGTAAAGAAAAGATGGTGATTACTCACACTCCCACCGCCTAGAGATAACCGCCATTAATCTTTTGAAAATGCAAATATTTTGAGGAAGTTCTTTATGTTGGAACAAAGAGGATGTCTTTGCTGTTTTCTACCCTTCTGTCAGACTTTTCCTTTTATACTTGGGTGTAGAGACTTTCTTTTTGCCTTTACACTCTTGAAAATTTCTCTGGGAAAAAGTGGCCAGAGAATGTGAGACTCTTGAGGATTAGAAATAAGAGTATGGAGTTTGCTTCCAAGTATTTCCACCTGGAAATCTTAGTTCAGAAGCTTTGAGAAAGAGCAAGCTTATGGCCGAGTGCAGCAGGCTGCGTGGGAATCACGCCCCTCTGGTGAGGGGTGTGGGGAGGCTGGGAGGGACACAGGTATTGCTCTGCTGGCTGAGGGCAATGGAATGGGCGGGTGCTTGTGAAAGCAAATATCCTGAAAAACCTGTTGCTGTTACTCCAGATTCTTGTTCCCACGTAGATCATGAGACCTGAATTAACTTCCAGACACGTAGCTTTCAAAATTTTTCCTGCTGTGATTAGCTTTAACTGTAAGTAGTGATTATCTGTGAGATAACATTTGGGAATTATTGATTGAGAAGAACTTTACTCTCAAATAATTGTCTACCACTTTTTTCCCTTTTTCTTTCTTTTTAAATTTTGTTTGCCCTAATCCACTATGACTGGTAATAATTACCTACCATTAGTGGGGCACCTATTATGTGTCTAGTGCTTCACATATGTTATCTCATTTAGTGCAGTGTTTCCATAAGTGGGAGTGTAATTATCCTCCAACAGATAGGACAGAGATGCAGAGTAAGTAACTTGCCAAAGGTTAGATAGTTATTGAGTGGTGGATCCAGGCATGAAACTCACTAAATCAGAGGTCTGAGCCCGTGCAAAACCTTCTTCCCACCCTTCCGGGGAGCACTCTTAAGCTCTGTTGTCATCATTTCATCTTTTAGTGAATGCAGGTGAATAGTGTAGGCACCTTTTAAAAGGCACAGGATGCCTATCGCTATTGATAATGCGGAAAGAAAAACAAAAGGCACAGGAGTTCTGATATGGGTATATGTGTGGGAGACAAAGTCTAACTATTTAAATGGAAGTCACCTATCAGTTATTAAATTAGTGCAAATAATTTTATCAACTTAGTCCTTTTTCCCTAAGCACCTTAGCCTCCATGGCCAATGGGTTTGAGGTAGCTGACAATAATGAAATTTCAATTTTTTTTTTTTTTTTGGTAGAGACAGAGTCCCACTGAGTTGCCCAGGCTGGTCTCAAACTCCTGGCCTCAAGTGATCCTCCTGCCTCAGCCTCCCAAAGCACTGGGATTACTGGCATGAACCACTGTACCCAGCCAATAATGAAATTTTCAAAAACATTTGTGTTAGCAGGGCGAGGTGGCTCATGCCTGTAATCCTAGCTCTTGGGAGGCCCAGGCAGGCAGATTGCTCAAGGTCAGGAGTTCAAAACCAGCCTGAGCAAGAGCGAGACCCCGTCTCTACTATAAATAGAAAGAAATTAATTTGCCAACTAATTTATATATAGAAAAAATGAGCCGGGCATGGTGGCGCATGCCTGTAGTCCCAGCTGCTGGGGAGGCTGAGACAGGAGGATTGCTTGAGCCCAAGAGTTTGAGGTTGCTGTGAGCTAGGTTGACGCCACGGCACTCACTCTAGCCTAGTCAACAAAGCGAGACTCTATCTCAAAACAAAAAAACAAAAAAAACCCATTTGTGTTGAAGTATGAGACACAGAGAAAAAAACAAAACCACCAATCCTAAGTGTATGGACCTTAAGAATTTTCACAAACAGATCCAAATAAATAGCAGCCAGATCAAGAAATGGAACATCACTGGCAACCCAGAAGCAACGCTTGGGTCTACAACCTCTACCTCCTCCGACCTCTACCTCCTCCCTACTCCCCATAGGTGACCTCCATCCTGACTTCTGACACATGGGATCACTGTAGCTCCTTTTGAATTTATATGAATGGAAACACGTAGTTTGGATTATTATGAGCTTGACTTTCACTCAGCAACAAGTTTATGAGAATTATCTAACCACAGCAATTTTTTTTTTGAGACAAGGTTTCTCACTGTGTTGCCTGGGCTCGAGGGCTGTGGCATCAGCCTAGCTCACAGCAACTTCAAACTCCTGGGCTCAAGCGATCCTTCTGCCCCAGACTCCCAAGTAGCTGGGACTACAGGCATGCGCCACCATGCCCGGCTAATTTTTTCTATATATTTTTAGTTGTCCAGCTAATTTATTTCTATTGTTAGTAGAGACAGGATCTTGCTCTTGCTCAGGCTGTTTTTGAACTCCTGAGCTCAAACGATCCACCTGCCTGGGCCTCCCAGAGTGCTAACCACAGCAATTTTGAGAGAAAGGTCTTAGAAGAGGCAAGAGCAGAAGAGTGGTGTTTTGTTTGTTTTGTTTTTCTTTGTTCTTTTAATTATGTCCTCTAGCTCAGTTCTTCTTATACTTTTCAAAGAGGATCTCCTGACAAATCACCTGAGAATCTTCTCAAAAGTAGAGTTTGATTCAGTAGCTCTGAGATTCTGCATTTCTCTCAAGTTCCTAGGTGATATTAATATAAATGCAACTGGTCTGAGGACCACACTTGAGGTGCAAGAACTCTGCTCCATTCACAGTTTAAAAGTGCAAGGAGTGTTCGAAAAACCATTTAATGACTGCAATATTTGATCACTTTAACAAAATGATGAAAAAGATTGAAACATAATTTAATTTCTACATCTTACAAAAGTTAATTACTTTTCCTTCATGTGTTTCTGATTGATGTTTTTCTACTTTAAAAAATTAATTTATCGTTTTCAAATGAATGTTAAATACCTATGGTACAAAAATTCAAAAGGTATACAGAAGTAGAAAATTGACAAAAAAAAAAAAAAAAATTCAAAAGGTAGATAAAAATGAAAGGTAGACATCGAAAATAAGTCACCTTGCCCCCAGGCCTCTCAGTTCCTCTCTCCAGAGGCAGCCACTGTTACTGATTTATTGTGAAATTTTCAAGAGCTATTTTAACTCATATGCTTATTTTTCTTTTACAAATGGTTGGTTATTATACATAATGTTCTGCCATTGCTCTTTTTATTAACAATATGTGTAAGTAAATAGCTAGTGCTATGTATTCTGGGCATTGTTCTAAGTGCTTTTGGTATTTTAAATCATTTAGTCTTTATAGCAACCCTGCACAGTATGTACAGTTATTATTTCCATTTTATAAATGTAATTAAAATTTGATATACTCATGAGTTATCTCACTTCATTGTTCACAGTCACAGATTGAGCTCCTTGTTCTACTACTTTCCCCCCTCCTCACTACTGCACTTGACTAGTCTTAAAAAGAAAAGAAAAAAAAATTGTTACACTCTACAAAGCCTCTATTAGTATATATACATCTCCAATCCTTTGTATGATATATCATCATTTATTTAATAAGTTATCTATTAATGGACATATAGGTTGTTTCCAATATTTTGCTATTATAGTGTTGCAATGAATTTTTTTGGCATATGTCATTTCATACTTGTGGGAATACATCTATAGGAAAATTCCTAAAAGAGAAATTGCTGGGTCAAAGTAACATACATTTTAAATTCCGGTTAATATCTCCAAATTGCCCTCCATAAGTGAGATTTGATCCATCTGATAGGTGAAAAAGGGTATTTTACTGTAGTTTCAATTTACATTTTTTTTATTATCAGTGAGACATCTTCTCATATATATAAGAGCCATTTTTTTTTTTTTTTTTGAGACAGTGTCTTGCTTTGTTGCCCAGGCTAGAGTGAGTGCCATGGCGTCAGCCTAGCTCACAGCAACCTCAAACTCCTGGGCTCAAGCAATTCTGCTGCCTCAGCCTCCCGAGTAGCTGGGACTACAGGCATGCGCCACCATGCCCGGCTAATTTTTTCTATATATATTAGTTGGCCAATTAATTTATTTTATTTTTAGTTGAGAAGGGGGTCTCGCTCTTGCTCAGGCTGGTTTCGAACTCCTGACCTCGAGCAATCTGCCTGCCTCGACCTCCCAGAGTGCTAGGATTACAGGCGTGTATAAGAACCATTTTAATTTTCTTTACTGGGAGCTGTTTGTCATATACTTTTCTTTTCTTTTCTTTTTTTTTTTTTTTTTTTGAGAGAAAGTCTCACTCATTGCCCGGGCTAGAGTGCCGTGGCATTAGCTTAGCTCACAGCAACCTCAAACTCCTGGGCTCAAGCAATCCTCCTGCCTCAGCCTCCCAAGTAGCTGGGACTACAGGCATGCGCCACCATGCCTGGTTAATTTTTTCTATATATTTTTAGTTGGCCAATTAATTTCTTTTTTTTTTTTTTTTTTTGAGACAGAGTCTCGCTTTGTTGTCCAGGCTAGAGTGAGTGCCGCGGCATCAGCCTAGCTCGCAGCAACCTCGAACTCCTGGGCTCAAGCAATCCTGCTGCCTCAGCCTTCTGAGTAGCTGGGACTATAGGCATGCACCACCATGCCCAAATATTAATTTCTTAATTAATTTTAGTTGGCCAATTAATTTCTTTCTATTTCTAGTAGAGACGGGGTCTCCCTGTTGCTCAGGCTGGTTGGCCTCACAGAGGGCTAGGATTACAGGCGCCTGGCCTGTGATATGCTTTTCTAATAAGTTGTTTGTCTTTTGTTATTAATTTGTAAGTGCTCATTTTTATATTTAGGAAATTATTTG